GCAACCCACCTGAACCCAACCCGCGAGCATCCCTAACGTATATCAATATTTATGAAGAATTTCTAATTGTATGCGATCGAATTGGATTGAAGCTTGTGTATCCGCCATCTGATTAAAAACTCAACTTTTTTTAAATTGCTAGATCCACATCCGTCCATCCATCTGTCTGTTACATCGAAACCACCTATTCGAGATTGGGTTGGCCAGGTCGGTTAGATGTTTACCCAGGCCTAGTAGATAAACTCTTCAATATTGTTGAAAAAATAATAAAATAAAAAATATAGATACTTTTTCAACATGTCTGGAGTGAAAGTGGGCAAACAATTTTAAATTTAGGTATCTAACTTTTTGCGATTAGCATTAAAAAAAAAAAATTTTGCAATTAGCCTTCAATTTACAATTTTTAGCCTTTATAAAATTTCACTATTTTGGAAATAGCGAGCACAACAAATTTTCACTATTTAAAAAAAGAAGGGTTAACATTGGTCTTGTTTGAATGACATTGAAGAGTAAATTCCAAAATTATCAAAAAGCCAAAAAACCAAAAAGCCAACCCACTTCCCAAACGGAGGCTAAATTTAGGTATCTAACTTTCTGCGATTAGCATTAAAAAAAAAAAAACTTTTTGCAATTAGCCTTCAATTTACAATTTTTAGCCTTTATAAAATTTCACTATTTTGGAAATAACGAGCACAACAAATTTTCACTATTTAAAAAAAGAAGGGTCATATTTAACATTGGTCTTGTTTGAATGACATTGAAGAGTAAATTCCAAAATTATCAATTTTATTGAATATGGATATTTATATAAAAAGTTTAAAAGAGTTTTGAAAAAAAATTCAAAATGAAATTAGCGTTGAATCTATAAGTCAATATACAAGGGTATTTTTGTCTGAAACTAGGCTCTAAAATTTTAGAAGACTGGAGTTAGATAATATAAGTAAATAGCACATCAATTAATAAAAAAATTATAAAAATTTATTTGTTTATATAATATAATATTAAATCTCTTAAGTACATATAATTATTTGTTTGTAAGTTGTACAAATAGTTAAGGGAAAATGTTTGGTGGCCACAAATTCGTTTTGGCAGTTTCGAGCCATTTGAGCCACAGAATTTGTGGCCCCCTACGTTTTGGCAGTTTCAGGCCATTTGAGTCACAAAATTTGTGGCCCCCTAACATTGCTGATAATTAAGTGTTCTTATAAAATTTGAACTCCTATAATGGAGGTTGCGATTTCGAGTTCCATGTGTGGGTCAATTTTAAATATGAAGCATATAATTCAAGATGCCAAATGCAACATTATTTTGCAATTTTTTTAATTCCCATGTTTTCTTTGTAGCTTGATATGATGCGCCAGGGGTGCATTGTGGGCTTTCAAACCAAATAAAAAACATGTTTGTAAAAGAACACATGTTTGTAAATAGAATCAATACAACAGACCCATGAAAAAAAGAAGGGTAAATTACACTAAATTATGTAAAGTTTAAAAAAAAATACAGGTAGTCTTACATTTTAGATATAATTGTACTGGTTTCTCTTTAGGTATTAATTTAGATAACAGTTAGATCCTTTTTCATTAGTAAGTCGTTAGTTGTATGAATGAAAATAATAATATTATAGCCTCTTTTTTACTAAAATTTATATTCTTGTTTATTTCAATATCTATCAATACTATTTGCATTAATTTCGATCATTTTAACCTTATTAAAAGGAAGGTCAGTGTAATTATGTTAAAGATATGAGATTAATTGTATTTTTCTGAAATCTTAAGAAATGTGAATATAAATAATTTATTCAAAAAAGAAAGAAGAATTGATGACCTATTTCATTGTTCTTATATAACATTCATTTTCATGTATAAAATAAATATATGTTTTTTAAATTTCATATTAGTAAGATCCTACGAAAAAAACGTGCGGTTTTACAACACATGTTTATTTGACTTAAAAAAATCACACATTTCCTATTACACATATTTTATGCATATTATATTAAAATCCTCCTATTAACAATGGTAAATTCAATGTTATAAAAGTCAGCTAAACGAGTATTTTCACATTCCCAGGTCTCTCTCTCATATTTTTTGAGGTTGGTCTTTTTTTCTTTTTCTTTTTTTTCTTTTTTTGATTTTGTCATTTTATTTTAAATAATTTATTAATAGTAGCTTATATATTGAGTGAATTTTTTTTTTCGTAATTACGCAAATATTTTTGATCAATTATGAAATAGATTTTTTTCGTAATTACGCAAACATTCTTGATCAATTATAAAATATAAATCTTTAATTTTTTAGCAAATTACAAATACACCCATAAGATTTGTTTAAAATATGAATCGGTGTTATAATATTAAAAATTACAACTATCGTTTGTTATAAATTTTAATTTAATACAATACTTAGGGAAAAAAAAACACTATTTTCCTATGCAATAATAAATTATCAAAATTATTTATTAAAAAATATTTCTCATATCATTAAAAATTGTTAATTGATTTAATGATTTATTTATTAACAAAATCCTTAACTGAAAAATATTTTCCATATCATTAAAAATTATTAATTTACTTAATGATTTACTTATTAATAAAATTAGTTATTGTTATGCGAGTATGATTTATATATTAATAAAATTAGTCATTTGTATATACATATGTATTTTTTTCTGTTTCTTTATTAGTTCAGTGAATTATCTAAATAGTTTTTTTTAGATAGAGGCCTCGTTTGGCAAGTTCTTGCTTTAGCTTAAAAGTTAAAAAGTTACTAAAAAATCAAAAAGCCTATAACCTATATAAATAAGTCAAAGATTTCTTTTTCTCTCTACTTTTTGCATATCTTTTCATAAAAAAAACCAAAAAATCATTCCAAACATACTAGTTTTTTTTTACCTCCTATTTTAGTTAAAAAACTAAAAAGTTACTAAAATAGCATGATCCCAAACAAGGCCAAAAGAATTATCTTAGTATTTTTTTTATATTTATCTGTTAAAAAAAACTACACACCATAAATTTTTTTTATAAATTCGAAAGAAATATTTAAAACACATAAATTCACAATTTGAGTCTAAATCATTACGTGTATGACAAATCAAAAAATGACAAATATCCTACCACATAATTCCATCATATATCTAATAATTTATTCTTTTCAATAGAATAATATTATAATTTTTAAAAAATTATCAAAACATAAAATTTAAATATACTATAATAATAATTTGTGTCTTACACGTGTCTTTGTAAACAAATATATATATATATATATATATATGATTGTATTTTTTTTGATATCTCAGATTTTCTGTTTCATGCAATATCTCTGATAATTTTAGTGTTTAATAAAAATTTGTGTTATCATGTCAGAAATAGCCCTAATGCTTCCATGTGATTTTTAGCTCAGAGAACACTGAAGGAGAAAGTAGCAATAATGCTTCAAATAGTTCTATATTAAGTGTTGCTTAGTGTGATTTATGGGTGATGTACAGAGTCGGTAGTAATTTTAGGACACTGTTTTGTATTTTGTAACCATTTTCCATTGGGTTTGGCTTCCCTTCTATCCGTGATCAGACTGGAGGGTGGGCCCATGAAAGTATATCACGAGTTTCGATTTGATAACCTAAATTGTTCAATATGTAAAACTCATGAAGTACTATATACATGTAAAAAATCACGTTGATCGAATATCAATAACTACGTGATCAAATCAGTTTTGTATAAAACAAAATGAACAGCGAAAAAATAAACAGTTGACAAATTTAATCCGATGAAATAGTTATCGATATCCGATCAACGTATTATTTTACAAACATATAATATTCGACGATTTCTACATATTTAACGGTTCAAATTATTGAACCTGTGTTGAACCCCCATGAACCCAACAACACGGGCTTGAGGGAGACCAATCCCTTTTCGATTTACCAAAGGGGGAAAAAGAAAAGAAAAGGCTTCTTGGTTATGTTGTAATTTGTTCAATTTTTACTGATCATGTTTAATGCGTGTATAATGTGATTGTTCCACTCTGATCAATCCAACAGTTAAACCACTTACCCTTGACCTAGTTTTTTTTATCTAGTTTATTGAATGGTCCATTTGTTAAAAAACATTGGATGAAATAATTCATAGGTTTCTAGAACCAACACCGATACAATTTTAATCACTCCCATGAGCAGTTATTTAAATTTCTTTAAAATGAAAAGATTTAAAGAAAAAGAGTAAGTTGATGCCACTTCTCTTTTCTTCTCTCCTACCTAATCCTTCATTTTTTCTCCTAGTTTTCTATGTATAAACATTGCTTAGTGGATGAGGCATTTCCTTACCAGGCATGATGTACGTCTGTGTTGAAGTCTTATGACTGCGAGTGCAAATTCCATTACCCTATTATCCACCCACTGGTTGTAAAACTTGAGTACATTGATTCTTCACCTACCAAACAGACCTTGAAAAATGTCAAAACAACTATGAAAGAAACAAAAAAGAACAAGAACCCACAATAACTCCCAGCAGCAAACAAAACCAACACCACAGAAGCCCTTCAATATCTTCAAATCTAAATGCCTTCAAACCTCAATAGAAGTTAAAGGATTTTCTAAATTGGGCATTCAATTACTGTTGTGGCAGTTGCATCAAAGATTGGATCCCAAGAGGTCAACACAAACAGCTAAAATATGCAGAGACATAATTGAAATATATATATATATATATATATGTGTCCTCTAAGCAAAGTAGATATATAATCTAACACAGTTTAAATCATGGATTCGTGTAGGAAAAAGAAAAAGAAAAACGACAAGTGAATAAAATAGAAATAATTTTTTTTCCCACAAATCTCACTCCTGCTACAGACATCATTTTCTATCACCTACTCAAAATAGAAGTGAGGCCTACATATTCGATTCGAGATCCAAACATAGCCTAAATTAACACAAACCATATAAGCAGCGATCACAGACAGCAAGTAGAACCTCATGATCATGTTCTATCACACAGCCTTTGCATCTAGTAATTTCAGGGTTTTGATCCACACAGTAGTAAAAAAAAATGAAAAGTTCATCAAGAGTGTTGATCTACTACAGAATTATTACAAACTGGTGTTTCTCTCCCCAACTACTGTAAAATGATTTTACGCTGTACATGCCAGTCTGAAAATGAAATACAAGAATTACAATTTCAAGCATTTTGTCCGATAATGGTCACTGGATTTTGGCACCCATCCATATGCCTTCCCCTAACTAATCAAACATCAATCCTATACAATACACCTTACGAAAAAAACGAGAGCGAGATATTACAGTATGAAGGTTTTAATCTGACCTAGCAGTTGAATTTGGCTACAGACCATACCAAGGCTACGAGGTTTAGAGATATGATAGATAAAGGAACAAAATATAAGATAAATTAGTTCAGGTCACGAACACTCACCATGGTTCTGACAGAGCGAGCCAATTAAGTGTTCTTTCATTCTTTTTCTTTATTTTTAATTTTATTTTTCCGGGGGCAGCAATTTACACTTCATCGGATGATTTTCATAATCCATCCATTCTTTCTGCTCGTGGAGAATGAGATATCTTGTCTTGAATTTCATTGGTGAACCAATAAGATATAGCATTCTAAATCCACCTTTCTGTGAATCTGTTGTGATACGCTTGCACAATTTGTCATTGCAAAGGAAAATAATGCATCAGTTTTCTTTCGCTCTTTCCAACTTGACATAGATTGATCATTCCTTTCCTTGCAAGAACTGTATAAAAAATTGTGCTATCAGAAGCTCCTGGTTTCGTTCAACGGATCGTAGTCATAAGCATCACCAGCCTTGACAAAGCGCCCCTTCACACGCCTCCTTACATCAGCCCTTGCCTTGCGAGAAGCATATCTAACCTTCTTGTCAAATCTATGACACAATTAAAATTATAATAGTTAATTATGAGGGGAAAAAAAAAAGAAAAAGACTAAACGTAGAAAATTCCATCTTTTGGGAATCAAAAGACAATGTAAAAAACTGACATAAAGTTTCGTGCTAATAACACACCCATGAATAATTGGAAAATTAAACCTAACAAAAGGAAAGATCCATGTGCATCTTGCAGGAACAAAAAATGTGGGTAGCTCCACATCTATGAAGCATAGGTACGATGAAAATATTGTCATAGGGTATGCATATCAATACGACTACCCGCATATCATGTACAAGAAATACTTTGGGTACAACTTTGGTATGGGATGGGTACTGGATGAATACGTTTCGGATACTTTTGTGGGTACTTCCGGGCATAAATGTAACTTTTTAAAAATATAGGGGATACTGAAATAGTTAGATTGTGACTATTTTAAAAAAAAATTAAAATAAAAGGTATTTTTACAATATCAAAGGTATAAAAAATACATAGGGTTCTTTTCTTGACCATTACAAAAATACTTTAATTATTTTTTGTACTTGATTTTTTAATTGTTATATGTTATGTACTACTACAAATTATTAAATCATAATTTTTTATGGACATATTGGACCGTACCCATATCCTACTTTGTTTGGTTTTGCCGTATCAACATACCCCTAATGTAACCGCACCCGCACCAGCGCTTCCTAGGTCCACACAATTTTCTTTTCTTTTTTTAACCTAAATGATGTGTAAAAAGAAACTGCTCTACACTTACTTGCGTGTCTTCTTCTTTTCCATGTAACGCATAACAGCGCTGCTCCTACTAGTTGAAGGGAATGAACTTTCAGGACACCATGGAGGCGGCTCTCCCATGAGAACCATTGGAGAAGCACCACAGTCTTGATGATCTGCAGCACTACTCTCCACGCTAAGACCAGAAAATGAGATGCTGGAATGGGCTTGCGTTGCAAAGCAAAGGTTTGGATCAGTTTTAGAGCTTATCACAGAATCAGCAGATGCCGGATTGCTGATAGCCGGCTGCATTGACTTAACTAGTCCAATTGATGACCCCTGGGGAAAACAAGCAACATTAGATGATGAGTGCATTTTAAACTAGATGTAAACTCACAAATAACAGGAGGTTTCAGTAGTACTTCAATGAGAGAAAGCATAAGCGTTTATTCAGACACTCCAGCAGAAATATTTGATGACATACATGCAAGTGTGGAATGTTTGCTAGAATGTGATTGACAGGTGTTGAAAGGAGAGGAGAGAGGTGTTTATGTCAGTTTGGCAAGCAATAATCATGTCAGAAATTCCATGCTTCCTCATGCTATCCATGCAAAATCATTCAAGTGTTTATGCAAAGAAATCATTAGGTACCCCACTCCAAAGATAATTGGAAAACCATGGGCGCTTTTTGAAAATAAACACACACTCACAGATAAAAAAAGAATCAAGATGCATGGCCAACAATATTAAATATTATTGCCCATTATAATTCGCATTCCAATTCCAGAAATCTTTTACTTTCCAAAATATTTGCACTGTAAACAAATTCTCTTGGTTTATAAATAGGATAGCCCCAATGGAACTCCACTTTAGCTTCCCAAGCTCATGAATTTCCATGAACTCACATCTTGGAGGCAAGGAGCTGTAATTGGAGTGCCAAAGGCACAATTTGAACATCAAGAATTGTGAGATGTAACAGTAAGCTATGGTGGGGACTTTTCCATGGAGGTTTTGAAGGAAGGTTTACTAATACAAACACTCCTATAATTTAAGTGCAGGAAACCTAAGTTGCACTTACCAATCAAATATTGGAACTGAGTGACAAGTTTCATTATCACCCGAGGGTGGTAGCCTGATGGACTGGAGGTCATGGGTTCGAGTCCCACAGGCAGTCACTAGGGGGCACAAAGCTCATGCATATACCAAAAGAAACCATGTCCACCAAGAACATTCCATTTAACCAAAATTTGGTAGATAGGAAAGAAAGCAATATTTATGGAAAAAGTTGCATTTCTCACAGCTCAATGGGACAAAGATGTTAGAACTATGCATTGACAGTGACACATTGTAAAGCAGAAAGAGATGAAGGACAAAAACACCAAACAAATGAGCTGATTACAGCTAATGAGAATAATAAGGATAAGATTAAGCAACATAAGAGAAAGCAAGAGTACCTCAGCTGCATATGTTCCTCGACGGTTCAAATCAGCACCGGACATGTCCTTCACTCCAAACAAGCTACCAATTCCATCGTTACCAAACAGTTGTTCTGGATCATTAAGAGCTACACCAAATATTTCTTCGTAGTTCTCAATATTCAAGTCAACTTCATCCATATTGAAGTCCTCATAGAATTTATCATCTTCTTCTAAATCAGATGCTTTTGTTCCAGGACAGCACGTCTGCATATTAATTACCGGAGGTCAGATTTTTACTCAAGCAACACAGTAAACAGGTAACCTTAAACATATTCATAATACTATAAAGTTGATCAGTTTTGTACTTTGGCAATCTTAATTGATCTAACAAATTATCACTGCACGCATTTTCTTTTAATCTTCTTTACAAGCATGGCTAGGATTGAAAACGTGTCATATAACATTCCAAGAAGAAAGGCCCAAAGCTCAAAGCCAATGAGTAAGGTTGAGAGGGCAAATAATGCTGGTACAGTTTGGCTGACTAGAATGATTAAGATTGTGCGGACCAAGAAAATATATGAAGAATGGAAGAGCAAAATCTTCACAACTATGCTTTAAAACAAAGGCGCTGCAAGAACTATCACTAGATCGCATGCAAAAGTCCTACTATGAGAATTCAGAAGAGAATGATAAACTAAGAGCAAGGTATGCAACCATGGAACTATAAAAGCAATTTGGTTACACCAACAAGATGATCATATTTGTCTACTTGGGTAATTGACGTAGGAGCTTAAGAGAAATCGAAAAGCCCTTGCTTGACATGTATGCTGAAGTTTCCCACTAACTACAGGGCAAATTTCTTGGTAATCATAATAGAGAACCAGGATTGGATCCCTTCTTCATGCTAGTTGGGGTTTTATTGGTAGGGGTGCTACCACCCCCATCTTTCAGCCTAAATTGACTTTGGACCCAAAAAAAAGTCAATAAAAAAGAAGAAGGAAATTAGATTATTGATTAAAAAAAGCAAATGCTTGGATGCATAAAGAGTTTCCATGGAATAATTTGAAGAAGAAAGAGATAGCAACCAGAAAATTAACATCCAAAAGGATGAGAACAATGATTCTATACTAACTTTAGAGCAACTGACAGAATACAAAGAATCAATCACAAGCCTAAATCAAAGAATTTTACTTCACCCATTAAAGGATGTTTGCAAGCTGAATACATGAAGGACATTTAATAGTCAATAAGCTTACACCAAAAAGATATTCAAAACAAACAAACAAACAAAATTGTGCAAGGGAGTCTGAGAGACTTGTGTATCTTTCAAATGACAGAAGTAATATACATAAAGCCTTTTGCAAGAATTGGAAAGAAAATGATTTTTAATCAAAATTTTGACAGTTATATGAGATGCCATTATTCATCTAGGTAATGTAAGATTAGGAACACTAGTAAGAAAACACACAGCTCCCACATGAGCACAATACACTTCACAATTCTGATGGTAGGTTTTCCACACAACCAAGATGTTTGTTTCTGAGATATCCTATGAGAAATTTTATCATCCTTCAAAAGAAGGATTCATCAATTACCTTTGATGAAGTTGAATTTACATTTTGTCGCTTGGTTCTCAGTTCAGGCATTGCAGAGGACCCCATCCAATCACTCGACTTATCAATATTCTTTACATCATTCTCTTCGATGAAGACTGACACATCTTGCCCATCTTTACTTTGTGGAGGGTCCATGCTGTTTGTCAGACTATTGTCAGTAATGCTCATTAAACTCATTCCCTTTTCACAAGTTGAATCACCCACAGAAGGAATATCTAAAACAAATGACCAGATTGTGGAGAGTTCTGCAGCCGAAGGGCAACCAGAATAACAATTGACTGCCTGCTTCTTATGAGTTGAGGCCTCAGTAGAGCCAGTATGTCCCAGCCAATCACAATTCTGACAAAGAGATATCCTCTCTTCGACACATCTAATGAATGCAGGCTGTGAATTGCATCTTTCACACACAAGGGTCCTAGAATGACGCCGTGAAAGGGCATTCGCAGAATGGACATTCCGGTCACAGGATAAGCATAAACAAGCAGCATCAGATCGACAATAGACCATCGATCTTTGATCCCCACAGAAATCACACATGTAACCCATGTTGCAACTAACCCTTCTTCTACTAGAATAAAATCCAATTCAATCCAATGAGAGGACAATTGTACTATTTTCGAAATTATCAACACTCTTCCCAAAACTATCAATCAACAGAACATAGCTTCAGAAACCCCCTTTGCTCACAGTTAGGAGATATAGAAATCTGCATTAAACAGGCCAAAATGTAAATAACTAGAAAAATGGAAAATTTCAAGACTGAATTGCATAATCCACTAAAAAAACAGAAAAGTCAAGGTGTGGAAAAATAAAATCCAGGAATTTGGAAACAGATCTTGACAGAATAAAGTTCACTTCACACTATGGATGTGAAAATGATAGAGATTCCAAAGGAATAACAGTTAACAAGACATATATACCCAGAAAAGCTAAAAGGAGCTCCAACTTATTGGGCACCTAGAATCCAGATATAGTGAAGAAAATGAAGAGAATCAAAACACTCTGCTTTTTTATTTCCAATCAGCATGAAAAATATACATGACAACAAAGAACTAGAATCTAGAGAGTAAAAATTTATTCTTTTGGATAAAATCAATTAAAAAAATATGAAAATAAAATCATAGAAAACTAAAAACTTACTCTTAGTGTCAAGCTGATATTTGATTTGATTCGATTTGATTCGATTTGATTTGTTGTAGAAAAACAAAAACAGAGAAAGGATTCAAAAGAAACCCAAATCGTTGTCACGAGACAACAAAACTTCAAATATAATTGTAAATTAAACAGTTAAAATCCCTAGAAACCCCAAGAGAGATAAGAAGAACTCTCCAAAAATACCATAAACACAGATAAGAAAGACTCTGCCAAAAAAAGATAATCGTACAAAAAAAGCAGTTTCAAATCACAATCAAACCCTCTTTCGCTTCACATCAAAAAACGAACTGAACAAAAAATTGAGACAAATACCAATACAAATACCTAATTTCAGGCGAAAACAGTGAACCAAGCCGAACAAATCAGAGGTCTTGCTGCGAACTTTCAAACCCAGAAACCCTAACACCCCCCAAAAAACAACAAAAACAAAGATCTCAACTTTTTCACTTTCTCCAGAATCAATCTCTCTCTGAGCTATCTATCTGGGTCTCCCGGTGGAGTTGCAAGTGTTTTGTGACACAAAATAAAATAATGAGAAAAGGAGAAAAAGTGCAGATAATGGAGATTGGAGAGAGAGAGAGAGAACGGGTGGGGGAGGAGAGAGAGTAGAGAGAGAGAGGTGGGATGTGGGACCACGTAGTGGCTTTGGAGAAAGGGCAAAAAGTTCGGTCCCCTCACACGAAAAGGTACTCTTTTTTTTCCTTTTTTGTTTTAAATTTTATTTACGAATATTATTTAGCCTGCGTTTGGGAAGTGGGTTGACTTTTTAGCTTTTTGGCTTTTTTGACTATTTTAGCCTGGGCTTAAAAGCTTGGTTTGGGAAGGACTTTTTGACTTTTTGACTTTTTTGAGTTTTTTTATGAGAGAAGAATATAATGATTATGGGTTGGATGTGATGTTTTGTTTGTTATGGCTAAAATAGCCTATTTTGTCTTTTGTGACTAAAATAGCCAAAAAAGCCCAAGAACCAACTTGCCAAACAGAGGCTTAAAAGTTAATTTATTTTTTAAATTTAATAATGTGTTAAAAATAATTAAATATTATTTAATCATTTTTTTATACCTCACACGTTTATAAAAATAGGTCTAGATGTGTTTTTTATTTAAAAAAATTAACAAGTGTTTCTTATTTATTATTTAATATTAAAAAATGTATGTAAAATATTTTTAAAATATGTAAGAAAGTATTTAAAATACATTAAATTTAATAAAAAAAGCATATTATATTCTTTAAATTTTTTTTTGTCATTTAGGCCAAGCACTTGATAGCAACATCTTTCTTTAAATGTAGAATTAGATATTTACATGTATACGTAAGCAATAATATCTAACGCTTTACTAAGATATTTTAATTTGGCATATTCGATGGCCACTTGTCCCTCACTTATTTTCTTTGATTTGATTTGTACTGTCATTCTCAAAAAGTTAATCAGCAGTAATACATCTTCTAAAATTCCAACTCTAATTTAGCAGTGATTCATTCTCAAAAATTAAAATTTTAATCGAAATCTAATAATACAAAAAATAAATAAATAAATAAAATCAAAATATCATATTAAAGAGTAATTTGAAATGTCTTAAATAAGTGTACTTCTTAATTTTTTATGAAATATAGGTTGAGTATAAATTGAGTTTAAAATGATGTGTTACAAAGATAATTTGATTTAAATAAGATAGTGACTTTTTGACTTTTTGTATTTTTAGACCAAGTTTGGCGATCTAAAAATAATCTATCTTTTTATCTTTTTTTCATCAGTTCATATCTCTACTTTTCTACACATCTTTTTATAAAAAATCAAAAAATATACTTATTTAGCTCATTTCAAACAGCACATCAGTTTATGTCAAACAAGACGAAATGAAATCATATAAAAAAAAAAAAAGATTCATTCTCAAAAATTAAAATTTTAATCGAAATCTAATAATACAAAAAATAAAAAAATAAATAAAATCAAAATATCATATTAAAGAGTAATTTGAAATGTCTTAAATAAGTGTACTTTTTTATTTTTTATGAAATATAGGTTGAGTATAAATTGAGTTTAAAATGATGTGTTACAAAGATAATTTGATTTAAATAAGATGATATGATTTAAATAAGATAGTGACTTTTTGACTTTTTGACTTTTTGTATTTTTAGGCCAAGTTTGACAATCTAAAAATAATCTATCTTTTTATCTTTTTTTCATCACTTCATATCTCTACTTTTCTACACATCTTTTTATAAAAAATCAAAAAATATACTTATTTAGCTCATTTCAAACAGCACATCAGTTTATGTCAAACAAGACGAAATGAAATCATATAAAAAAAAAACTCTCTCCATAAAACTCTCGAACATTTCCTTAAAGTCAATTTTTTTTTAATTTTTTAATTTTTTTAATGGTGTGACTCAGCTCAACGTCATCAAGTTACTAAGATATGTTAAAAAAAATAAAAAAGTAAATTACTCTTAACCCTGTCAGATTTAGATTTAATATATATTATTTTTGATATTTTAAAAATTACATTAATTTGGATAGAATGGAAATATTAAACTCATAGAGTGTGTTTAGAATGATTTTCAAACTATAATTCTACTTATATATTCTAATATGATGTTTGGATAGGACATTCAAATTATATTTCCACAACATTTAGAAAACTCTGTGTGATGCGCGATTTTCAAAACAAAATTGAAATTTGACCTAACCGGTCGTCCGGCCAATTGACCGGAACAATGCATTTTTTTTTTTTTTTTGCAATTGACATATGTTAATTTTTATATATTCAAAAAAAATATACACTCTCTTTTCTTATTTTGCTTTACTTTCTCTTTTTTTTTCTTTTCTTTTCCTTTGTTATACTTTTTTTTATTCAATGTAATTTTCTCTATTTTTTTATTAACAGTTGTTGTATTTTATATAAGTAGGGGGTTGTGAAATGAAACTATTAACCACAAAGGTGAGAATATAATTTTCAAAACGTCACGGATAGAATGTAATTGGACTAAACCTCAGAAAGTGCCAGTGTAATTTACCCAAAATAAGAAGATGAAATAATTTTTTTTATCATTTGACTAAGAGCATCTCTAATGGTGTTTGCTAAAATAGCATTGTCGTTGCTATAGGCCTTGTTTGGAAAATTGGCTATTTTAGTAGGTTATTTTAGTTTTTGACTATTTTAGTAGGCTAAAATTTTTGTATTTGGAAAAATGATTAAATTTTTTTGTAATTAGATGTAATGTTTGTGAGAGAAAAAATGAAATAATTTTGGATTTGATGTGACATTTTATTTTATTAACTATTTTAGCATATTTTGTCTTTTTGTAAATTTCAGCTTAAAAAGCCACATATTAGTTATTTGGTAATGAATAGTACTATTTTGCCAAATTATAGTAATTTTGCTCCAATGGTCATATGTTATTTTAGCAAATCTCAGCCAACTTTTTCTCTAAATTTGTAAGTGATGTTTGGATATAAGTTTTTTAGTGATTTTTTTTATTTTTTAGCCTTTGTGACTTTTTTTTTTTAATGTTTCTAAAAAAAATTATATATTTACATTATTCCCGACTAGACAAATATAAAAATGAAAAAAAATTGAAAATTTGAAACATTTATAGTCGTTGTTTGTACTAATTTTAAACTTTTTTTTCAGGCAAAAAGAGCACGATGACTCTTTTGCCTTTCCAAGACAGATCACCACAATCATCTAATCCATTTCCAACGGTTGAGACGAATGATCCAAAATCATCTTGACTCTCCACTTTGTCTTCACTCTCCTTCTCCCTTTCACTTTCTCTCTCTCCTTCACCATTTCCTCCTCTATCTCCCCCCTCTCTCTCTCGGAACCTCTCTCTATCTCTTCTCTCTCTCTCTCTCTCTCTCTCTCTCTCTCTCTCTTCGATCGGCGACGGTGTCTACCCTCAATCGCCGAAGACCAACCTTTCCTCCCCTTCTCTCTCACTCTCACTCTTACTCTACCCCACTCCCTCTCCCTCTCTTCTCTTTCACTTTGATCACTGACGATGTCCACCCCAAATCGCCGAAGACCAACCTTTCCTCCCTCTCCCTCTCACTCTGTCTCCATTTCCCTCTCACTTCTCTCTCTGTTCTCTAGAACCGCCAATCGTCGCCGTCTACCCACACTCCTCTTTTTTTCTCACTCCTCTTTCTCACTCACTCTTATAATGGATCGACAACATTGGGCAAGATGGAAGAAACGATCGCTGATTCTAAACCAAGGACTACCAGATCTGTTCCTATCGCTGGTGATATCTTCAACGCTTCCTTCGACGCTGTGACTCACAACTAGATATACTTTCAACTACCAAAACCAGGTATTTATTATTTTCAGTTTTGTTCATATTCTGATATTTGAAGTATAAAATTGTTTCTTGAGCTCCAATGAATTTGTTGAATCTGAGATTTGTTGAATTTGTTTGAGATTTTGTTGAGATTTATTGATTGTTATTGACTGGTTTTGTAAAAAAATAAAAAATAAACTTTGTTGATTTCAAGTAAATTAAAAAAATTATTAAATTTTTTTTTTGGTGAATTCTGATAATAAAAAAAAAGAAGAAAAAAGAAGAAAAAAAAAAGTGGTGAAATAGTTCTTGAGTAGGAGAGATGAAGGGAAACAGTTGGCTTTGGCTGAGTTGACACAAATGGTAACTGCCAAAACTTGTGTCATTTTTCAACACAGCTGCTATATTATAGAAATGGCAACTCCAATGACAAACTATTGGAGATGCTCTAATAAAATATGTAGCCAAACAACCTTGAGTAGAAAGAATTAAAGCAATTTTAGGGTTGGTTTGAGAATAGGATATTTTAGCAATTTTTTTTATTTCTTAATTAAAATATAAGATGAAGAAAGAAAATTAGTAGGCTTAGAATAATTTTTGGACTTTTTACTAAAAATCGTACAAAAAGTAAAGAGGAAAAAATTAGTATGTTTAGAATGATTTTTTTAACTTTTTTTAAAATTTTGATTTTCTTATATTTTTAATAACTTTTTAATTTTTTTTATTATTATTGTAACTTTTCAAATTTGCCCTTAGTAATCATTATTAAGTGGTTTTTTGAGAAATGTTAAATTCATATACTTCTTGACTTAAAAAAAATATGTAAAAAAATAGAAAAGTGATGTAACTAAAAAAAAAATAGGACTAAAAAAATTGTGCTATATTGGCAATTCCCCAACAACCCTTAAAATGCTAATGCTAACTAAGCACAAGGTCAAATCAAGCCGATTTGACTCGTAAAAACAACGTTCAAATTCATTAACCTCTAACAGATTTTATAACTGGTTGGGTTGAATTGGGACAAGATTAAAACTTTAAACACAAGTTCTATTTAGATGAGTTTATAGGTTGGATCATTTATTATGTGCCAACAGATTAAGGTCAAGTTTGATATGTCTTGAAAAAGATAAAAAGTCAAAAAATCACTATTCTATTTAAGTCATATCATCTTATTTAAGTCACATCACCTCTCTAACATATCACTTCAAACTCAACTCATG